AGTAACTGTAGACCTTGGGGACAGGTATACCGTGTAAACGGAGAAAATCCATCGTCGCGACTTCGCTGGCTATGACAAGGTGCTTCGGCTCTGTCACCGGATAAGGGATGCGTCCAATAAACTGGAAGCCGTCACGCATCGTGATGAGAAAGGTTCGATTGAAACCCCCTTCAGCTAGTTTTTCGAAGGAAGTCACGTCTTCTACGTTCTGATTGACAGCTGCAGCCGCGAAGCGCTTGAACTCCGATACATCAAAGACGCGTCTTCGTTCAGAGTGCTTCGAGGCGTCATTCCAACTTCAGTCCATAGTCAATATGGGCGATGGCTTTGGTAGAAGGGTTTGACAAACATCCATCGCCCTGATGTGTATTCAAATAGCTTAGCGGCTTCGTCCGTTGAGTAGTAAGCCAGAGAACGAGCCGATTTTGAGCAGAAACCTCCGGCTTTTGGGGATTGTACCGTCCGTAGGAAAAGACGACGGGAGCCATCTGTGAATAGGCGACCACGTGTGTTCCGATAAAACGCCATAAGACAATTGCGCAGTGGAATGGCGTAGCGCAAGGGCACGGAATTAGTCGCTGCAGCGGATGTGGAGCGACTCAACCGGAACGCTTGGATTACTTGGCATGCACTAACACCGATAGCGCAAAACTCCCAACGAACGGGATCTGGGAGATGAAAACAGGAGGTTGGAAAGTGAGAACTCTAGGCGCCCGCACGCGAGACGGGACTGAAGGATTTCGTTGTGCTTACGGTCATCTCTACCTTGTTGCTCTTGCGCGAAGTTGCATCGAACAGCTAGTAGAGATCGGCATCGTGCAGTGAAACCCCTTCGGCATTCCCTGGAGTCATTTGGGGGTTGTAAAATATCGTGGGAATGTGATAGCGGGTTTGTGGTTGTCGCAACTTCAGAGCGCCTTCCAAACCACGCTTTGAAGGGTCGGTAAGCAAAAAGCCTTGGCAGGGCGTAACAAGGCTGAGCGCTGTTTCATGCTATTTTCGCCCTGCAGGATGCCACCACCACGAGGGTGCGGCAGGCTTGTGCCGTGATCTTGGTGTGTAGTCTGCCCAATGCCTTGGGTGTGCAGATCGCTGGTCTTAGGCCGGGCAGTAGCTTCACCTGTGTCAAGCCTAGAAGTCTGCTGGGCATCACCAACTTCATCGAAATATTGCGCGATAACTTCGCTCGAGTCAGGGTGGTGATGGAAAGAAGTATTGCATTACCACGCTGCTTTCATCGACAGCGAGTTGGTATCTAATGCATCCCAAACGCCAGCCATGATTTTTCCCACCTGCAAACACGCAATGCAAGAACGCATAAGACCCCAGCCCGCTTAACGGTGGCTGGTCTTTCCGATACCACGCTTTCCTGCAGTCTAGATAACTGTTAGCAATTGTGCTGAAAGGTAGATGGTTCGGAAGCAAACTTACCAAATGCTTGATCAAAGAACCAGTCTGGTGCCTATCGGCCTCACCCTGCCTGGCCATCCTGTTCATCTTCTGCTGCGACAACTTCTGCAGCCTCTCAGCCTTGGAAGCGGCAACCTCATTCGTAACACCATCGTTCCTCCTGTTGGTGCTCTGGCTGCGGCCTCGGCTCTTGGCACGTGCAAGCATAGCAGCACCAGGCGTATCGACCTCCATAGCATCGCCACCAGGAGCCTCTGATCTTCCACGAGCCAAGCTGCGGCCTCGCGCCTCTGCCTTTGCAGTCGTACGCTCGACAGCCGCTGAGGGATCGTAGCCGAGACTCTCCAGATGTGTCTCCATCTTTGACATTTGCATGGCCTTCTTGGTCCTGGGAATGACGGCCCTGTTCTTGAGACTCTTGCGCATCTTGGCCTCGTTGCGGATGAGTTGCCTCTTCTCACGGATGAGCTCTGCCTTGTACCTGATGTCCGCTTCCTCTGCGTCTTCAAGGTCGTCGTCGGAATCGTAGAAGCCCTCACCCTCCAGCTTCTCCTCCTCAGCTTCGAGCGCAGCAAGCTTGGCCTCGATGTCAGGGTCGATGAAGTCGTAGACGTTCTGGCCCTTGAAGACCTCAGGAATGCGGTCGTGTTTCCACTCGTCGTTCTCGAGCATGTAGTTCTTGCGGAGATCGATGTTGTACACACCAGCTCCACCGTCTGCCTCTTCCAAATCACGCTCAAGGAGCGGCCTGTCAGGGTCTTCTTTGTCGTACTTCTTCTTGTTGAGTACCGCCTCTGGAATGGAAGTCTCGCGAGTAACGCCGCCCAACGGCTGGGCAACGTGAATACGGCGAAGCAGCTCACCGAGACGGCCAGAAGGCTCGCCGGCGCTGTTGGTACCGGCCTTTAGCTTCTCAGCGTTACGGGCAGCGATCAAGCGATCGCAGACAGAGTTTCGCACGGCCATAACACCCTCAGTTGTGTTGCAAGAGAGCTCGAGCATCTCAACCTCGCCAGACTTGAGCATACCCTGTAGCTGTTCCTGGGTCTCGGGGTCGAGCTGATTCGGGCGCATAAGATCGATCTTGTTGATGACGATGGAGATGAGCTTGTTGGCGAATAGAGGCTTGATGTTGTTGAAAAGAGCGATTTGCGAGGCAACGGAGTAACCGCACTGCTCGCTGAGATCCATGAAGTAAAGAATGTGGGCGCGGAGATGGGCAATGGCGCAGATAGACTGATGTTCGATAGTGTTCATGTCCTCGAGCGCGTGGTCCAAGATACCGGGAGTGTCGACGGCCTGGAACCGGAGCATCTTGTAGTCGAAATGTCCGACATACAGACTCTTGGTAGTGAAAGCGTAGGGCTGTACCTCGACATCGGCCCTTGAGATGGACTTCAAGAATGAAGACTTGCCGACGTTGGGGAAGCCGGAAATGACAAGTGTGCGGGTATTGGGGTCGATGGACGGAAGACGACCCAAATGCTGCCTAACCTGCTCAAGGTAGACGAGAGGGTCCTTTAACCTCTTGCAAATGGTGGCCATACGACCCAGCGCGGCCCTCTTCAGCTGCTTGCACTGGAAGAGAGACTGTCCGTACTTGAGAAGACGGACATAGTCGCGCGCAACCGTCTCGATCAGCGACTTTGCGGTCGAAAGCTGACCAAGCGCAATTCTGAAGTGATCCGCATCGTATAGGGTGTTGAGCAGATCGCGGTGGAACGGGTGGATGTCGGCGAGGCGGGGGAAGGCCTCGATGGTGGTGGAGAGGCGCTCGGTAAAGGTTTCGGAGGTGTACTTGACTTTTCGCGTGTAGAAGGCTCGAATTCTGCTAATCTTGAATCCAGCACGAATCTGTGTCGGCAATCTGGGGTTCAGTCAGCTTTGTCATCCTTTATGCGATATGCATTGCGCCTGCGAAGTCGCAAAGCGCCGGGTGGTAGAGGGAAGGCGCTTTGCGCAATTGTGTCGAGGAAGGCACCTACCTCCTCTGGGTCCTGGAAAGCACGATGTCCAGAAACTCCTGGCTCGTGGGCACAGCGGGGATATCCTTCCACTGGGTCTTCATTTTGGCGACTGCGGGTGTTGATGTCGAGTAGAGCCGTCTGCGCGTTGGAGAGACTTCAGGGCAAAAAAGTTCACGACGCTATCGATACCGGTGGGGAAAATCGTTCGCCTCGCCGCCGCGCTAGTCCCGCATCCAATGTTAGCGTCGTTTGTCCGGGCAGTTGCACCCACCCATCACGCGCCTGACAACACCATAGTCCACATTTCCACCATTATATTCTCGAAATCACGTAGTACGTTCGAGCCGCAGGACTCGGCGCTTTCATGTAGTCGACAGAGCTACCCTACTCTTGGGGTAACTTAGCAGTATGAACAGATGTATAATTCGGCGCAACTAGCATTGACCGCCGGCCTGTTCCCAGGACAGTGGCATGTCGAGCGGCTGATGGCGCGAGCGATGCCTTTCGCGTTGGCGTTCTCAGCTTCTCTTTCTGCCCTCATCCCCTCAAATATGTCCAGATAGATTCACTATGAACACCACGGTGAAAGAAGCTGTCACCCGCTGCCAGTTACCGAGCTGCGCGTGGCTCTCTTCAACTAACCTGACAAACCTCACCAACGTGCCACCCCTATTACCAGATTCAGATCTCTCAGGTATCGGAGTGAGTATCAGGACTCAGCCTGTACCAACGCGACTGACTCCGGTACGATAGGTCATCTTGGGTTTCTCGATCTCAGCATACCTCACATTACTCCTACTCATTATCCACTATATCACTGTCCACAACGTCCATCAAACAAAAGGCGCAGCAAGCATCCGCATCAATGCAGTCGACCATCGAATCCTCACTTTCATACGCTCACGTATCTTCTCATGGACTCCCAGCCGACGCTTCCAGTACGCCATCGAAAAGTCCGTTCTGATCCTCAGCGATCTGAACCTAGTCACCGGTACCGCGATCCTCATCGCTGGTTACTCGCAACTAAAATGTGGCATCTCTGCGTATCATTGGCAGATGATGGTCTTCATTTCGTGGTTCGCCAGTTTCGCTTTCGTCTCCGCTACGACCTTTCTCGAAGGCTGCTCCCAGACTAATAAAAGCATGCGACTTATCAGACTCGTCTTTATGGTTCTACTTGCTTCGTTATTGATTGCTGCTTTGCTTCCGACGGGGTCGAGGATGTGGCTAAATGGGTATCCGGACGATGGTGAGGGTTTCTATCCCAGTTTGAGCGCTATTTGCTTCTACAAAGAGCTTGGGATGCGGTCGTTCTTACGGCGCGGTCCTAAGATATGGTCCATGATCTTCTCGGTGGTTATCGTTGGTGTGTCTTTTGTTCGATGTGGTATACAACTACTTGATCGAGGTGGGGACGTGTCTCGCACATGCCTTCGGACGTTACCTGGATCGAAATTCAAGCGCTTCCTCAAATTCTTGGAGGACAAGACATTATCTCATACGATTCAGGCATATATCTGGCACGCACCATACCTGCTCTCGTACACTGGCTTCATCATCGCCCGAGCCATCTACGATGTCTCTGAGTCAATGCTACTAGAGATCCTCTGGCTGACATTCGCAATGGCATGGGGTACCATCAAAGTCTGGGATACACGCGCCGCAGCCTCATGGAACTATGACGGCTACAACTTCACGCTCAACCAAAAGGTCTCCGAAGAGAACTCCTGGGGTTTCGGTCAGACTTTGCCGTTGATCTTACTACTACTGCCGCTTCTCTCAATGGCCCAGGCGTACCTTGACGACGATGCAAAAGCACAAGAAGCGTTGCGAGCGGACCGGGATACATTGTCTCCGCCTGGAACGGCTGCCGTTGAAGAGACGGATGACCCAAGCGCCATAGACGCAGATGTCTCCAATCTACAAAACCGCAATCGGCTTGTGAACCTTCCAACATACCCCTACGAGAACTTCGCCTCGCACTCCTGGTATCACGATCACATAATCCTCTTGGTCTTTCAGATCATCATGGTCAGCACTGTCGCGCTTTTCTTTCTCACGCGCTTAGCAGACATATTCGGCATTTCCTCTATCCTACGCAGTAGACTCTTCGTCATCTGGATCCTAGCTATCTTACCGCTGGCGTCGTTCATTTACTTGTCAGCATGGTATATTGCAGCTTTAGTGGTCGGTACGTGGCCTGGTGTATGGAGACGGTTTTCCAGCGAGGACGAAGAGAGGAGAGACCAGACAAGAAGAGGGCAAGTGGTGCACTGGATATGGCGCGCGGGTCTCATAACAGGGTGCTTACTGTTTACGTTCTTTGTCAGTCTAGAATCTGCCGGACCGAACTCGCTGTTCTCGTATCTGAGATGAACTCAGGTAACGTTAACTCTGATTTATCTACGAATGTCGATAGCTCTATCGTACGACTCACTCATCCTTGATGATTCAGTCCAGGACCTGATAATGAGCATCCACCGGATTCTTCCCATTAATCGTAAGAACATCCTGAGGACACGCACTCATCACTACAACCACATCCCTTAGCGCTTCCAAAACAACACAGTCTCCAGCCTTCGTCTTCGGCTCTTCGAAACTAATGCCTCTCTTCGCTCCCTCACCCTCCTGCGTAATAGGAATGTTCATAAACAAATTGAACGGATCCGGGACTCTGTATCCCATCTTGACTTGCAGGTCTCCAATCGCTTCCTTCTCCTCAGCCGAGAGAGACGAAGATGTAGTCAACTCGTGCAGAGCATCCCAGAAGTTGTCTGTGCAAGACTCATGGTATCCATTGACGCCCAACTCACTATACCGCCATCGATCACACGCTGCGACCAAAGTGTCGTGTACACCTGGACTTGTATCTTCCACCAGCTTGACCATCGGCGCCCTCTTCTGGCTGACCATTACATCACCTACTCCCGGCGTCACTTTCAAAAGTGTGGCACGGCAGTGGCACATGGACATGTATTCGGGGGCGCTGGCAGCGGCGTTCGCAGTAGCAGAGTATTTGGACGGCGAGTCGGAAGTCGCGTTGGGGTAGAGCGGTGCTTCGACTTTTGAGGACGCGGTGGTGAGGGTGGAGGAAGGGAGGGCGAGCGCCCAGGTATCGACGACTTGGTTTCCGTGCGTGTTTGTTATCTTTATCTTTTGACTGGTCCTGACGAGGGTGGCTGCTCCGCGGCGGGCGGGAACAGTTTGGAGGGAGGTCATGGTGCGGTTGTTGGGATGCTGTAGTCTGTAGTCTATAAGAGTTGATATGTGAGTATGCGATAGACCCAAGCTGCTACTTGGAAGCAGGTGAGGTATGCCATCATATGTATATGCGTACCCCACTTGTGCTGTCGCGTCAGGTCGTGGGACGGCAAGATAGGGAGATAGGAAGATGACGTCCGAAGCCTATGTCATCCTTCGAGCATAGACTAGCGCAAGAATGGTGAAGTTTTTTGAATCGCCAACGACAGCTCTGGGTCGTGGCTACAGTGGAGCGATTGAGTTTAGGCGCGCGGTGTGAGCGCGTAGCATCGAGTAGCAAACATGGTTCTGACCTCGGGAGGCGTCTCTTAACCACGAATATAGTCCAGACGAAATCTTCTATAAGACACGTAGGTTTGAGCGCAATATATGAAGCAGGCAGTGTCCGGTGAAAGCGAAAGTAGAAATTGGAGTTGCGACATCGAGGTACCACCTGCACTGCAATCGCGCGTATCACGTGTCAAGAACGCGGTTTCCTGGAAACGACACCCTAGCATTCCCGAGCGCCGCAACCCAAATTATCCCCACCACAGCTCGACTCCTTTACCGCCAACCCGCACCATTCCTACCCACTCCCACCATGGCTGCCCTCGCGACCAAGACCGAGTCGCAGAACATCTTTACCAAATTGAAGTCGAAGCCCGCGAACAAGGTACGTCTTGCAAGCAGACAGATACTCGGTCAATGCCTAACACACCCCTAGATATGCTTCGACTGCGGCGCAAAGAACCCAACATGGAGTTCCGTACCATTTGGCATCTATCTGTGCCTCGACTGCTCGTCCAACCATCGTAACATGGGTGTCCACATCTCCTTCGTACGATCCACCAATCTCGACAGTACGTTCACTCCGAGTCTCGTGGCTATACAATACACATACTGACTGAGGGTAGTCTGGCAATGGGATCAATTACGAATCATGAAAGTGGGCGGCAACGAAAGCGCTACCAAGTACTTCCAGTCGCACGGAGGCTCTGCTGCGCTCGCGAGTAAAGACCATAAAGCCAAATACACCAGCAATGCCGCCACCAAGTACAAGGAGGAGCTGACCAGGCGCTGCGCTGCGGACGCCAGGATGTAGGAGAAAATTATTCTATCCCTTAAACTGGGCTAATCAGATTATGCAGGTACCCCAACGAGGTCGTTATCACAGATGTACCCGAGGTTGGCACCGACGGCACCAACACGCCAGCCAACGACGAAGACGACTTCTTCTCGTCATGGGACAAGCCCACTATCAAGCGCCCGTCGAATCCACCTTCGCGTACCGGTACACCCAAGGTTGGAGGATCACCCTTCCTGAAGCCTGGCGCCAATGGCAATGGAACAGACCGACCTAAGTCGCCACTCGTTGGCGGTGAATCGAGCACACCCGCTGCAAAGCCCGCTGCCGTACGAAAGACGACCGCCGGCGCTGCGCCGAAGAAGAACATTCTGGGAGCCAAGAAGAAGGGTCTCGGAGCGAAGAAAGTGGTTGCCGCAGATGGAGGCCTAGACTTTGAGGAAGCAGAGCGGAAGGCCCGTGAAGAGGCTGAGCGCATCGAGAAGTTGGGCTACGATCCCGAAGCCGAAGCCGCTGAGGCCGCAGCGGCCACCAAGTCGAAAGCCCCCGAAGCATCCGCCATCGTCTCCCCGACCCCCGTATCACCGCCACGAGGTGGTTTCGGCTCCACCTCCAAGACCGAGCGCTCCAGCCAAGATATGGAAAGGTTAGGCATGGGCGTACAACGTCTGGGCTTTGGACAGGTAGGTGCAGCGAAGAAGGCTGCACCGCAGAAGAAGATGGGTGGCTTCGGCAGTGTAGGCAAGCCTGCGCAGGATGACGGCGAGAAGTACGCGCGAGACAAGTTTGGTACACAAAAGGGCATCTCCAGTGACGAGTTCTTTGGACGCAACGCATTCGATCCTACTGCCACCGCGCAGGCCAAGGAGAGGTTGTCAGGTACGTGATATCTATAAAACCATGCACGTTTCGGTTACTAACTCGCCATGTAGGCTTCGAAGGCGCGAGCGCTATTTCCTCCAACGCATACTTTGGCCGACCCGAAGACGAAGTCGGCGACGAAGACTACGGCGACCTCGAAACCGCCGCCAAGGACTTTGTCCGCAAGTTCGGTCTTACCGCTGGCGACGATCTCGAGAATCTGACGAACATGCTCGGCGAGGGTGCGACGAAACTGCAAGGCGCTGTTCGGAACTACCTCAACTCGTAGGATGACTTTGTGGATGACGTTAGGGCCGACTACGATGGGCGTGCGGCCGTGTACTGAACATACTCCTCCGGTGTGTGGAGAGCAGGGCTGGTTACCATGTGTAAATCTTGTCACAGACGTCAAAGAAACGGGTGTGGGCGCTTGGTGCATTGCATGGAGCGGGCGGATGAAAGACCATGAAGCGTGGAGTTGGCCGTACATTTCTATTGCGCTGAAGACGTGGGCTTGGGAATGGGTGTTTGGGAGTATAGACAAACGCAACTAAGAGTCCTTTCAATTCAACCTCGTAATCTCATTCCCTCTCCTTTGATGCAATACGTAACTCTGAACGCCTGACATGGATAACTAAACAGTGAACTAGGCAGACATCTCTCTAGATCCAAATCCAACACCAATCTCTCCATCCAGCCCTCTGCATGTACAGTCATTCAATCCTCCCTATCCCCCCAAACATCAGCCTCCTCCCTCGCCACAGCATCTAGATCAATCATCCCCTTCCCCCTGCCACTTCCTCCCTCATCATCATCGTCTTCCTCACTGCTACTCTCCTGTCCCCTTGCCTCTTCCCTACTCATAGACCCCCACCCCGCATCCTCATCCTCGTCGTCTTGCGGAAAAGCAGGCGACACAGGGACGAAGTCGTCCATGAGGTTACTAGGGAGACCAGCGGGAGCCGGGCGGGGATGAGAAGATGACGGTGGGGAGGGGGAGAGGGGCATCATTGCCATTTCTGGGTGGTTGGATAGTGGTGGTGTGGAGGGGCGGTTTGGGGGTGTGGTTGCAGCGTGGCGGGAAGAGGACGGTTCGGTGTGGGGAGGTGGGTGTGGAGAATGAGAGATTTGAGGTTTGTTGCTTTCTTTCGAAGAAGGCCGGACATCTTCTTGCTTCCTCATCTCCTGCCTTGGTGCAGGCGCTGTTTTCACAGCAGCAGAGGTATCAACCTGCTGTGTAGGCGGCAACTTGGCATGATGCTCCTGCTGCTGTTGCTGCGAGAATGGGAAAATGGAGAAAAGGCTTTGGCTCAGACTGTGTCTATTCGGTCCGCTGGGTCTTTGTTCTTGTTGGAGTGTTTCTTCCCTGCTTCGAGGCTTGTTGGGTAGTGGGTGCGATGCGGAGTGTGAGTGCGAAGGAGCCTTTCTGTTGGACACTGGACTGGGCGGTTTCGCAATAGTGGCTTCTGGCAGAGAGGCTTCGCACATTTCGCAGGCTGTCAAGGCGGGATCGTTGAGGAAGGTGCAGCGTGGGCATTGCTTTTTGAGATCGGGTGTTGATGGGCGCTGAGATGGGGAAGGTTCCTGGGGTGGTTGTGCCTGTGGTCGGGGAGGTTGGCGTGGAGGTGCTGGTTCGTTCTGGGTAGGCATCTGGTAGCCTGGGCTGTATCTCTGTGCGGTTCTGGAGTTTGGTGGCGCTGTGTCGCGTTGTCGACTGGTAGACGATGTACCTGCACTCGCTCCAGCGTTTGGATTCGGGTCCACTGATATTACGACCTGTACGTCTCGTTTCGTACCACACTTCATACACTGACACTGCCGTACAACGCTCTTCGTATACGTATCTGTGACCTCGGTCGGTGCATCGAACCTGATCTCAAACTTTCCTGGCTCACCGAAGCCTGGCGTATTCCTGTCGTTTCCTCTCCCTTTAGCATTCGCATAGCCTGCTCCTTTCGCCACGATTGGTATGATAGGGTCGACTGCTCCGAAGATGAGATGATCCACAAAGGGGATCAACATTAGTTTCCCGCTGGTCTTGATGTGATGGTCGATTTCCGGACGAAGCTGAAACGAGTCGATAGACTGTAGGACGCGGAAATACTTGTTGAACATGTCGCCGTACCATTGGCGAGCTTGAACACCCTGCTGCAACAAATCTTTCGCAATATTCCGCGGCGCAGGACTTGGCCACAGTGCATCGATCAAATGCTTCTCTTTCAGCGCTTTCCTTACCATCAAGTCTAGTCTTGCGCATTCATACAATCTCTTCTCCAGTCTTTCGTGCAACTCGTACTTTGCGAATCGTATAACCAAGCCTCTCACGAATCCAGCATCGAGGTTCCATTTTCTTGTAAAGTAGTCCAGAGATTCCAAATCTTTCTGCGCCTGCGCGTTCGCGGGTCGGACTTGGAGCGGTGAGAGTTCATGGCCCATGGAGATCCATCGTTCAGTCTGCCGTGGAAAGGCGGTTGCTGTTGACCAGAATGAGCGGATGGGATAGTACTCGGCTTTGAAGTAGTTGTAGACGAAGTCTAGGAAGTCGGCTTCTGTGAGCGGCATTGCTGCGTGGCCGCGTGGGATGTCCATGATGGGTGTTGGTTGTGGGTGGCGAGACGTATGAATGTCTCAGGCGTGGAAGGCAATCACAAAATCATTCGTGACGAGAGATGAAGACTTTGGCCGCAGATGTGGAGGTAATCGAAGCGCTGTTGTGACCTAGCGGCCTGAACTATGCGAAATGTTGCTGCCTGGATGAAGTTAAAGATTATGCGTACAGGAACAACGTGGGAATTAACAAAAGTGACGATGCCTATTTGAAGCTGCGCCACAGCATGTGATGTGTTAGAGAAGCGCTTGGAAGTCCGACTGCTCTGCTTGTTCTTGTGACCGGGTTTCTGGACACGCACGTCATTGTGTGGCGGTGGCGGTGCTCGCACCTTCCGCGTCGGACCTGAGCGCCCTCTTTCCTCGACATTCCAGAACTCCAGAACTCCACAACAACACGCTCGTCCCATATTCGCAACACGCCATC